CCCACCAATTTTTTTATGATCCGCGCAAACTCTTCGATTGTGTGCTCGACCGGATTGCCCAAATTGACGGGCTGAGTGTAGTTAGATGCCATTAAGGAAATTAATCCATCGACCAGATCTGAAACATATTGAAATGATCGAGTTTGCTTGCCATTACCATAGACCGTAATAGTCTCATTCCGGAGTGCTTGTAGAATAAAGTTGGATACAACACGACCATCATTCATATGCATCCGGGGGCCGTATGTATTAAATATACGTGCTACGCGCACTTTGACGTTCTCCTGTAAATAAGCTAGAAATTTATGACTTGATATTGCAGTATGTTTGCAGTTGTATACTTGTTTTGCATAAGCGTAGCTAAGTGTCTCCGAGACGCGTTTGCCTTCATCATAGCATGCTCGTGGCCCAATAGGATTTACATGGCCCCAGTATGTTTCCGGCTGTGGGTGTACAGTTGGATCACCTGGTTAAGGTGAAATTTTTGAATTTTGAAAAAAAATACAAACAAAAATTTGATTTTTAATCTTAAAAAAATTTTAAATATTAACTATGGATTATTTACATTCTATTTATGTTGACCTTATTTACACTTTCATATATTTTTTAACTTTCAAGTTCTTCCATTGAGAAATTTGAATCCTGCTGTTACAAAAGGTATGATCGGAACTAAATATCGTCCTCGCAGTTTTATTGTCAAGAACTCTTAAAAACGCAAACCAAAATGATAAATGCTTTCACAAGAAGGAATATGATGGATATGGAAAAATTTCTAAGAGAACATAAGTACAGTCCGCCCGATTAATCGGCATCGGCATCGCCTTTTTTCGTCGATTCTTTGGAACTTCTTTTCATATGTTCAGGTGAAGCGATAGACAACAGCCAACAACAATAAACGTTTGCAGACAGCTCACAAAAATGAATTTTTTTCGGTTGAAGGTGTTTCACGTTTTTTCCGTACAAAACTATATTCTAAAATTTTCTTTTATATGGAGAACACTGCCAGCAAAAAAACTGACAAAAATTAACGGGATTTTATAGCAGCTTGAAACTTGCATTTCATTAAATCGTCTACAAAGCTGCATAACAAAATTCTCACTAAAAAGTTTGAAATTTTGATGAAAATAAGCAGAAATTTTCAAATTTTTGTACAAAGTTTTAAATCTGAATTTATATGGTTTTTGTTATATACCAGCTAGACTTTTATAAAAAACAATAATAAACATTAAATAAACAAAAGACAAATGCCAAATGCTAAAATCGGTCAAGATATCGCAATTATTTTATACATATTCTTTAGGCGCGTCTGCCAACACCAGGCGCCTAAATACATGCTATGTACTGCTGCATGTGCAAAAATTTCCTTTATGCTATTTATGAAATTTTTGCACATGTACTTCTCAACTGCCATGTAATTGAACTTTCTTAAGTTTTAATTAGATGGCACTTCAAAGTATGCTCGGCATAATCTGATGCATCCTTCGGATACTGCTTCCGGAGCATTTCGCGGACTCAGCATGGCTTACAACCGTTCAGAGGTGGTATCTTTACCATTGCACAATGCCAAATTTTTGGAAAACCCTGGCCAAAATTCAAAAAAAAAAAAATTGGTGCATTCGTATGCATAACCATCTTATATTGTTAGGAGGGCTCTACTGCGTATCGTTATGCGAAAACAAATCGATTCTCTTAAGGCATTTAGTGTTATAGGAGAACGAAGTGAATGTTGCCAGCAATTCGCTCTAAACTTTTCGTAAATTACAGTTTTCGTCGTTGTTAAAATCGTGATATTATCTTAAAAAAATAACAGTTTTCAAACATTCGCTCATGAACATTGTAATCTAGAGTATGTAAAACATGTTTTTTCATTGTCACGCCATCTAAAAACTGACGTAAGACATAGATATTAACGGATTGATTTTGTTTTTTTGTTTTTTCATTATGATGGATTAGGAAAATAGTTACGAGAGTGGTCGAGATGGGCGGTCTAATTTTCTTTTTCATATATATTGAACTTTTTCCCATCCACCTTGGTTAAAACCACCTGCCAAAAGCCGCCACTGTAGTTTAGACATCAGTTTTTATACGCGATTCTTAATTTTTTTATGTTTAAAAGATTTAAATTATGTAAAAAATTATTTCTGTCAGGATTTTGATGTTTTAAAGATTGGGCAACTTTCCGAAGAAGCCCAAGAGTCAAGGAATAAGGATATTCAAAAATATCGGCTGCTTGTATCCCCCGACCCTGTCATTTCAAGTTTACGCTTAAACCCACCAAAACGAAATCATAAACGGTCGTCAGATGCCATTAAATTATTATCAACTGTTGTAAATGCGGGTGCGGAATTGCCATCAGAAAATACAGATATGATCTTGGATTCTTCAGATGACTACGAGTCTGACGGTGTATAAAATTGTTATCTTAAAAATATATTCCTGTACCAACAAATATGTATATCTTGTTTATTGATTCATTCAAAATCCCGCAGTTCCCGTGTAAATTTGAACATCAAGATTTTTAGAAACAAACATTAAGACCTCGTTAGTATTTGTCCGAGCTTCGCTTCCGAGCCTTGATGTTGGCGCACAAAGGGGAGGGACCAACAGTTTTACGCCGAATCCGAACGGGGATTTTATTTTTATGAGAAGCTGTTCTTCGTGGCTGAATACACTTGGGGGTTTGCCATTGCCTGCCAAAGGGCGACTTTATTACAAAAAACTTGTTTGTTTCATATTTTTTGACGTTGGTCGGAAACTGGGCTTGAACCCAGGCCCTGCGGAATGATAGCGTATATTGTTAACAGCTACATCACATTATATAACAAAAAAGCAGAAAACATTACCTTATTTTCTTAAATACCTTAGTTTTGCTAAAAATCTGATTATTTTAAGCGTACACAGCAGCCATTATGGATCCGCCATTTTGAATTTCGAACTTATGTGGTGAAATTTTAAACCAGAAACCAAAATAAAGACGAATACACAAGGTGTGATTACAATTGAACCATGCTTCGACTTTTGACCAGCTTTTTCGAAAAATTGGTCACTGTGCATTGGCCACAGTGCCTACCCACCATTTTTGAACCAATAAATATTTTTTTTTTATATAAATACATACATGAAAACATACTGGTTCTCACTGAGTTATGCACATATGTACAGTTGTCCACAAAATAATAGGTGTGCGATATTTTGACCAGTTTTGGCTATTTGTCATTTGTTTATTTAATGTTTATTATTTTTTTATAAAAGCCTAGCTGGCT